CATCTGGCACAGGACAGCTGTGATGAAAGAAAGGGAAGAAGTTTCTCCAAACCTCTGGACCCAGGAAACCCAGCTTGGTCCTGATGGTCTGCCTCTGTAGTTTCTCTCCAGGGTGAATGTAGCTGTTGATATAATATGGACTCTATTATTAAATGAAAAGAGCAAATCACACTACACTACTGAAACGTTCTGCTGATGTTTTTAAAGTTTCCTTGTTACCAGGCTGTAGAGCGCTCTGAAGATTTAAACAGTTTTAGATCCATTACACTCACAGTTTTATGTTAAAATCTCAAAGGACAGCATGATATTTTTGATATTAACAGTAACTCTGGGCTTCTGTAGAGTGTGCAGATGATCTCATCACTGTCTAAAAATGGATAACAAAACCTAAGCAGTGCTGAATCATTCAATAATACAGACTATTAGAGTAACGGATGTGTAGCATCGCTAACTAGCTAACAACAAGCCTCAAACACATTGCGTATTCTAGCGGCTAATCTAGCATCTAGCACCTTGCTAATCTGTGTGTCTTTTTCATAACAGTGACATGGTTGTATTTACCTTAATTAAATAAGTCGTCAGTCGCGGTAAACCCATCAGCAAATAAACTGGAGCAGCCGGGCTACGTAAAAAGTGTAGGGGGCGTGTTTGCGGTCACGTCCAGCAGGTGTGTCGGCGGGAGCGTAACACAGTCGCTCCACCTTAAGTCCCTACTGCGCAGACTCTGGCAAGATGGCAGCTTCCAGAGGCGGGATATTTTGGCTTCATTTTTGTAGAATGGGAGGAGGTGCTGTCACGTTGTCCATGTTTTCTACAGTCATTGGGTCCAGATCAGGTGAAGCTAACAGACAGTTAGAAGCTACAGTTGCCTGTGTCACCATCCACCTGTCAGTCAAAGAGGCCACGCCCCTAATATTGCAAACAGGTGAAAAGGATACTGTACTCAGAAATACATGTACATTAGTGGGTAATTATGTCTTCCAACCACCTGAAGCATTCTTATAAACGTATAATTAAAGTATTAAAACAACAGAGGAGCGTGCGTCCGACTAACGGTGTGTTAAACATGTGGCTACAGACAGCTGCATATGTAGGCAGACGAGGGAAGAAGTCATAGGACTTCTCATGTGTTCAGACTCAAAATATGAAGGCTGATACTAGTGTTTTCTCTTCAGTGAACAGGGCCTCTTCACCAAAGATAAAGAAAGAGACAACGCCACCGCCATCTTAACAAACACTCATCTTCTTCCTCCTGACCTCCAGCTTCATCTCCTGAACTGAAGTCAGGGCTCTAACTCTTGAAAATGTGCATAAACATGCTTATTTATTCCCGATATTGTCACAGATAATTATTTTCAGCAGTTTAGACCTGCCGTCTCCAGATAGCTAAACAACAGCTTGTTGTAAGCTAACATCATGGCAAACTAATGTCAGGCTCCAGTGTCCTAAAATCATACTTTCCCTCTGATAAACAGTTTAACTACATTCTCAGACTGTATGAGAGTTTATTCACCAAGCGTCCATGTCCTGCGACAAACAGCCACTTCAAATAAAGTATTACTAACAGTCATTAACAGGGGCTAACAGTCATCAACAGGAGCTGACAGTCATCAACAGGAGCTAACAGTCATCAACAGGAGCTAACAGTCATCAACAGGAGGCTAACAGTCATCAACAGGAGCTAACAGTCATCAACAGAGCAAGTCAAGGCTAACAGTCATAACAGGTAACAGCATCACGGAGACGTAATCAGTCAGGATTCGAGAACGAGACGAAGCCCTAAGACACAGAAATCATTCGGGCATTCCGTCCATCTAACACACGGTGCTAGCTACACAGTTCTTTCACTATTTAGAGTGACTAGTTGTATGTGATATATGTTTACATTCAGTGATTCTGTGCTTAATTGTAAAAGACACTGTAAATTCCAATCTAATATTGATCTGATCGTTCGATTTAAGCACAATAGACGACAGTCATCAACAGGAGGCTAACAGTCATCAACAGGGCTAACAGTCATCAACAGGAGCTAACAGTCATCAACAGGAGCTAACAGTCATCAACAGGAGCTGACAGTCATCAACAGGAGCTAACAGTCATCAACAGGGGCTAACAGTCATCAACAGGAGCTAACAGTCATCAACAGGAGTAACAGTCATCACAGACACGTCATCAACAGGAGCTAACAGTCTACAGAGTACAGTATCAATGAGTGACGATAACAGGGGCTAACAGTCATCAACAGGGGCTAACAGTCATCAACAGGAGCTAACAGTCATCAACAGGAGCTAACAGTCATCAACAGGAGCTGACAGTCATCAACAGGAGCTACAGCATAAAGGGCTAACAGTCATCAACAGGAGCTAACAGTCATCAACAGGAGCTGACAGTCATCACTAACAGTCGGGCTAACAGTCATCAACAGGGGCTAACAGTCATCAACAGGAGCTAACAGTCATCAATAGGAGCTACAGTCATTAACAGGGGCTAACAGTCATCAACAGGGGCTAACAGTCATCAACAGGGGCTAACAGTCATTAACAGGGGCTAACAGTCATCAACAGGAGCTAACAGTCATCAACAGGAGCTAACAGTCATCAACAGGGGCTAACAGTCATCAACAGGAGCTAACAGTCATCAACAGGAGCTAACAGTCATAACAGGCACGCATACAGGGCTAACAGTCATCAACAGGAGCTAACAGTCATCAACAGGGGCTACAGTCATCAACAGGAGCTAACAGTCATCAACTAGGAGCTACAGTTAACAGCTACAGATCAGGAGCTAACAGTCATCAACAGGGGCTAACAGTCATCAACAGGGAAGTCTCCAGGGAACAGTCATCAATCAGGAGCTGACAGTCATCAACAGGGGCTAACAGTCATAACAGGGGCTAACAGTCATTAACAGGGGCTAACAGTCATCAACAGGAGCTAACAGTCATCAACAGGGGCTAACAGTCATCAACAGGAGCTAACAGTCATCAACAGGGGCTAACAGTCATCAACAGGAGCTAACAGTCATCAACAGGAGGCTAACAGTCATCAACAGGAGCTAACAGTCATCAACAGGGGCTAACAGTCATCAACAGGGAGCTAACAGTCATCAACAGGAGCTAACAGTCATCAACAGGGCTCGCACAATAGAGACAGTCATTAACAGGGGCTAACAGTCATCAACAGGAGCTAACAGTCATCTAACAGGGGCTAACAGTCATCAACAGGAGCTAACAGTCATCAACAGGAGCTGACAGTCATCAACAGGGGCTAACAGTCATCAACAGGAGCTAACAGTCATCAACAGGGCTAACAGTCATCAACAGGGGCTGACAGTCATCAACAGGAGCTGACAGTCATCAACAGGGGCTAACAGTCATCAACAGGGCTAACAGTCATTAACAGGAGCTGACAGTCATCAACAGGAGCTAACAGTCATTAACAGGGGCTAACAGTCATTAACAGGGCTAACAGTCATCAACAGGGAGTCTAACAGTTATCAACAGGGCTAACAGTCATTAACAGGGGCTAACAGTCATCAACAGGAGCTAACAGTCATCAACAGGGGCTAACAGTCATCAACAGGAGCTAACAGTCATCAACAGGGGCTAACAGTCATTAACAGGGGCTAACAGTCATCAACAGGAGCTAACAGTCATCAACAGGAGCTAACAGTCATCAACAGGAGCTAACAGTCATCAACAGGGGCTAACAGTCATTAACAGGGGCTAACAGTCATCACCAGGACTCTGATTGCTACAGTTGAGTGACTGGGGTACAAACGTCTAACCTGGGGTAGAGTCTAAATGTTTGTAATGTCTGCTTTGACAGGTCCTCAGTCTCTCATAAAAGAGGAGTTCATGCAGGAGTGTCTGCAGATCGACCTGCCCCCCCACACCAACCCCTATGGCCACCCACGGCCTGTCGGCATGTATCCCAGCATGCCTTTGTCTCCCCCAGGTCAGTGTGCTGCTCCTTGCTGTCAGCGCGTGCGAGACGCCGTGACGCTGTTGTAACACAGTCGTGTTTCCTGCAGGCAGCAGCTCCATGGTGCCCGCAGCTCTGACTGCCAGGGGGGTCGGCGGCGGTTTGGACGGACCTGGCCTCCTTCAGATCGCTCCGCCTCCTAACCACGGCGGGCAGGCTTCACCGCCTCACTCAAATCCACCTCACACTCCCCAGCCCCCCCATCCCCCGACCCCAGCCTCCCCACATCAGCAGAGCCCAGAGTACAGTGGCCCCCACAAACCTGGTACTGTACCCTAAGTACTATGTACTACCTGTGCTTAGTACTACTTCTGTAGTATAATGAGTGTCCTGTGTGTCTCCACAGCCAACTGGGCAGGTAACAGCCCTGCCCCCTACACCTCTGCAGGACCGCAGCATAGTGGGCGGGGCAACCAGCCACATCCACCATTGCATCATCATCATCATCAACAACACCACGCCCCCAACACTCACTTCTGTAAGACAGCATGTTAAATGTTACTGCTCTATTCAGTACCGTAGTACTGCGAGTACTGCATTATTGCTGAGTACTGGGTCTGTGTTTGTTTCTGCAGGGTCACAGCATCACAGCACCGCTCCGTATCCACAGCCAGTATCCAACCACCCAGGTACCACACCTGTCCACAAACCCCGCCCCCTCACTCTGACCTCACTTTATTAATAAAGATTCAAAACATAGTGGCCGACGTCCCCAAAATACAAAATGTCCCTTCTTAGTGAAGCAGGTCCAAAAAATGTTAATGTAAAAATAAAGTGCCCTGATACTCACACCTATCTGTCTGAGTTCCCTGAAACAAAGATGTCCTCACTTACAGAAGTAAAAGCTCAGGTAATAAAAGGTTGAGAAGCACTTTTGTCTCCAGTTTGTCAGGATGTTTGGGGAGCAGGTCCGCCATGTCCTGATCTGTGTCTCGATCCTCAGGTCCAGAGTTCTGGTGCTCCATCTCCTACTTTGAGCTGGACGTTCAGGTTGGTGAGATGTTTAAGGTCCAGTCCAGCTGTCCCCTGGTGACCGTGGACGGGTACGTGGATCCTTCGGGAGGAGATCGATTCTGTTTGGGACAGCTGAGCAATGTCCACCGTACAGCCGCCAGCCACCGCGCCAGGTGAGCGGTCGTTTAGTGGGTGGCACCATGAGAATTATTGCGGTGTTAGTATTTAATGTTGCTGATGTTGTTGCCCTGCAGGCTCCACATCGGCCGGGGGGTTCAGCTGGAGTGTCGGGGGGAGGGTGACATCTGGATGCGTTGCCTTAGCGACCACTCTGTGTTTGTCCAGAGTTTCTATCTGGACCGGGAGGCGGGCAGAGCACCAGGCGATGGCGTTCATAAGATCTACCCTGGAGCATACATCAAGGTGAGTGCGTGGAGCGGTAGACGCCGCGAATGACCAACTGAGCCCAGACGGGCTCGGATTCACTAAGGTCCAAACAGACGTAAAACAGACAGACAAAGACGTGTTTGGGGATCGCAGGAAGTAAAACAGCGAGTCCATTTTCCTTTTACAGATTTGATATTCCTGATTTGTGAAGAGATCCGAGTTTCTCTGAGAGGTTTGTTTGGGCCGTGTTTCTCGATACTTGGACAGCTTTGTTGTAACTTCTTCAGCAGCTTGTTGACAGTTTTATAGGACATAGATTTGTGCATGATTGGACATAAAAGTGTGAACTGGCTACGGTTTCTATCAGGTGGTTTTGGCTCTGCTGGCAGTTTTGCTCTTTGTTAACCCTAGCTCATTATGGCGTGTTCAGTACGTGGCTGTTTTTGCCCACCATGTTCACGCACATTTACACCTGGATGGATCCATCACAGAGAAACGTGCGGTAGGTTCTTCCCCAAGGATATTTGGCATGCAGACTGGCATCGAATGACCACCTCTACCACCTGAGCTACAGCCACCCCGGTGTCTCACCCGTGTACCTGTCTCACCCGTCTGCGTGCCTCACCCGTCTGCCTGTCTCACCCGTCTGTGTTCAGGTGTTCGACCTGCGGCAGTGTCACCGGCAGATGCAGCAGCAGGCAGCAGCGGCTCAGGCAGCTGTGGAGACTCAGGCAGCCGCGGTGGTCGGTGCAATTCCCGGTCCGAACAGTGTGGGAGGAATCGCGCCTGCTGTCAGTGAGTATCACCTGCCCAACACAGCTAGTGACAGACAGGCACAGGTGTCAATAAATTATAACATGAACCAGACGCAGGGCTTAAAAGACTTACCTGCAGAGTGAATCGAGTCAGATTCGCGTTGGACATTTTTGGGCCTCAGTGCGACTTCCTGCTTTTTCATGCATTTAATGTTATTTCACTTCCTTTTTACGGTGGGCGGCCTCGGCCCTCGGTGTAAGCCTCGTGGTTTTAATTTCACATGTTTTAGTTTCTGTCTCACCTGTGCTTCCTCCCGCAGGTGTGCGCTCAGCGGCCGGTCTGGGCGTGGACGACCTCCGCAGGCTGTGCATCGTGCGGCTGAGCTTCGTCAAAGGGTGGGGGTGTGACTACCCACGGCAGAGCATCAAGGACACCCCCTGCTGGCTGGAGGTGCACCTGCACCGAGCGCTGCAGCTGCTCGACCAGGTGCTGCACATGCTGCCGCCGCGAGAGCACGCACTCTAGGACCTCCGCACTCTGCCCACAAACGCACCACAGCAGGGGTCGGTTCACACGGGTTTCAGACAATCAGCCAATCGCAGTGTCTTATCTCTGCTGTCATTTAAGTTCGTTTCTGTGGAAACCAGCATGACTCGTTAAAGGGTCAGTTCACGCGAGCTTGGTGTCTGCTCGAGCATCCACGCTGGCCTGCAGTTTATTAGTTCCGCCCCTCAACAGGTGAACTGACCCTTTAAGCCTGATGTCAGAAATCAGCTGATTACCAAAAAACCTCGTCATCGTCATCTTCCTCCTTCTGTCGGTTTTTAGTTCCTTTAGCTAATTGTCGACCAAAGAGCCATTCCTGTTCCTTTGATGACATCATATCCTGTTTACGTTGCGTTTCTGCTCCCTCTGACGGTCACATTATTTATTCTGTCGTCTGCTTTTTTTCTCACGTTTAACTCATTTAAAGGCTTTTATACTGAAAGGGTGTAAAGCTCTGAATAATCAGCTGTCTCTTCAAATTAAAAGTCTGGTGGATAAAGATCTTCGTCTTTGTTCGTCTTTCACTCTGCATTCAGACACTTCAGAGGAACACTCTCCTCTCCATCCACACGCAGTGATCAGGTAGGGCGCTCCCAGGAAGTCCATCCAGTCGTCAGGACGTTTCATCACTGATCCAGGTGACTTCTGCAGTGTCAGCTGACCGGATGATTAAAGATCTGCGCTGGAAACGATCAAACGAGGAACTTCATGCACGAGAGCTGCTCCACTTAGTGCAGCAGGGAGCTGTAACAGAAAACAGGCCACGCTTGGTCCATAAAAAAGGCCACAATCAGTGAAACGAGTCAATCAGCCTGTACCTGTCCTCTTACTGTTCCAGGCCGTCGATGACCTCACAGCAGTAAAAATCCGCTCTTCCATGATTTCCCGTCTGAGCAGCTTCTGCAGCGTCCTCACGCTGATCACCACCCTGCATCTGTGAGCTGAAGCACAAATCACATCCTTAACGATTGTGAGGTACAACCTCACAGTTTGTCCTGATACAACATCTGTTATCTGCACAGATCAGTGATAATTGTTTTCTTAATGTGGTCCTGATACTCAGTCATAGCCCCCCCCCCCCCAAAATGTGCTTTCTAAAAGAAGTCCAAACTGAGTACCTCAAAGATGCAGAGTTCCCTGAGGTTCTTTCAGACACTGCACTGACATTTTGTCTGGTTTTGAGTGTTTTAGGTGCTTCGTGCTGCCAGCAGGACTTCAGCTCACAGCACACCCTCAGTCCCACTCAGCCACTCTCACACGCGTGTTCTCAGCCTATCAGGTCTCCATGCTCCTGTTTTATGCATATCTGTGTTTGCTCATGCACACCGGGTCAACACAGTGCAGTGAAGTTAACCATATTTGCATCATAATCTCATCTCAGAGCATTCAGCAGAGAGATCTGCTCTCTGTTCTCAGAATGCTGCTCACAGTGACCTAAAACTTCAAAATGAATAGAATAGAATAGCTTCTATTGTCACTACACACATGCACAATGAGATCCAGAGCATCTGTGTTGAAGAAAACCAACCAAAATGAAAACATGGCCGCCTGTACATGCCCGTACTTACATGCATGCAGCACCCAGTGAGGAAATGGAAGTCAGATGCTAAAGAACAGCAGCACACAGAGGTCGAACACTGCCCACTGCAGGCATGCATGAGTCCCAGTCTAAATGTGACTGGAGGAGCTGAAAGAGTCAAATCTGACCAGCACACAGGGTTGGTGGAACCAAATGGCAACAGTGCCGAAAATGCTGATGGAGAAAAAGTTTCCAACTGTTACAGAGAGTGACGCGTGAATGACCGCAGGTTGTTGGCCTCCTCCTCCACTGTAGTTGCCCTCCCTGAGCCTGGTTCTGCTGGAGGAGTCTTCCTGTTAAAAGGGAGTTTTTCCTTCCCCTTGTCACCATGTGCTTGCTCATGGGGGTTTTTCTCTGTATCATTGAAGGGTCTTTACCTTACAACATAAAGCACCTTAAGGCAACTGTTGTTCTCTGCAGACACACCTGTTACTCTGTAGACTCTCAAATTTTGACTCTTCCAAATAACTCCCACACAGGTGCTCCCGAGGGTTTCTGGCTGCCTTTAGATTTGTGTCTGGAAAGACTTTGGTGGTATCTAATGTTTACCTCAGCAATCAGACAGCTGGAAGGTTAAAGGTCAGGAAAATCATGGACTCTCATTATCTGATGAAAGCAAAGTCTAAACTTGAAAACGTGAAAATCTGTGTTTCGGTCACTTTGCTTCCTTACAGAAAAAATGTTCAAGTAAATTATCTGATGTATTTGTTTCATTTTTTTCTACCACGTCACCTCCCATGGCTCTTAATAACAAGAGAAAGAAGAAGGAGAATAGAACCTTTAATAAATATGAAAAGATTGATAAAATACTTTGATTAACTATGATATGGATCTTGTTTATTGTTGCAATAAATACTTGAAACAACAAACAGCCTCTGTGGTCAGATCAAAGGCACAAAGCTGGATGCTATATTGTGTGTATAAGTGATTTACTGATGTAAACACTGTGGTTATTTTGCGGTAATCAATGAAAAATTATCACGGTGATCATTACAATATGGCGCCAACAAAGACAAAGAGAGGGCGCCTGTAAAGTTTAAACGTTTCATGCTCATCCTCTCATTGGTAACACTAAAGTGACGTATTTGCATTTACAGCCACTCGCAGACGAGGTCTCTGCATACTAAGATTCTAGGGCGGGGCTTAGTGAGTTGATCGTGTTTGGACCAGTAGCAGGTTAAGCTTCTTAAAAATATGGATATTCATTAGATTGGGGCGTGGTCTAACAGTGGCGGACCGGCAACAGCGAACATGGAGGTTTAGTTGTCGCCTTGTGTCCGTTAGAGAAGGAGGGTCTCACTGACGCGCATTTTATTTTCACTTTTCCTTTGTTATACTTTGTTTTTTCGCCTTCTGTTCGGGCTTCGACATGGAGATGAAGAAGAGGATTAGTCTGGAGCTGAGGAACAGAAATCCAGCCGAGGCAAGTAACTACAACACTTTAATTTATTTATTTCCTGAAGAAACTGGTGAAGGATGCCGTGTGAAGCTATGACGATAACATTCGGCGTGGGCGGCCGTCGACTTTTCCCAACCCGCGGACTGATCTTCTGTCGGTGTTTTTGAACGATTAGACGCGACATGTTTGTGGCTCCAACATGGAGGAAACTCCGCTTGGTCCTGGAGGAGGAATCCGCCGCGTGCAGGCTCGCTCCCTCTCCCGCGCTCACTTCTCGCGGGGCAGCCTCGCGCGAGCCTCCCACAGCTAGCACACGGGCTAACAGGCTAACCTGCCGAGTGCCCAGCCCGCATAACAGAACCGCGGCCGAGTGAGCGCGCCGAGAGCCGCCGCAGGTGCTCGGCGGTACCGAGAAAATGCAATCGCGGACTGTGGATGGGCTCCGCTGCATTTGTTTGAACGCCCCGGGGCGACCGCTCGGCCGAGCCGGCTCCCATTTTAACCTTCACCGTTAGAGAGTTACTGATCTGCGATGGTCGTGCTGTGATGGCGTTTGCAGCCGGACTCCATTCTCATTTCAGTGCACATAGTTCTAGGTCAAGTCATTTTTTCTGCCATAACATCATTAAAGGGTCTCCACAGTTTCTTTGTCGGCACGGGTCAGCTCAACACAGGCGCTGTCTAAAATCGATAGTTTGTTCACGTTAAATTGGAGTTTTAACAGTTGTTGTTCAGTCTGCTGTTCCCGCCCTCCTCGCTGTGTTTTCAGGCGCACGAGTGCCGCGCGCTTAAATCTCACAAAAATTGCACGAGGTTCGGTGGGAGGCGGATTTAAACGACGGAGAGGGTTTTTAAAAAGTTTCTCGCACGCACAGCTTTGGTGGGTGAGGTGTGCTCTCCCACCGGTGATCGTAACGGTGAAGCTGAGCGCCGGTTTTCTGGTCACGTACTAACCGCTATATGGATGAGATCCAACGGGAGAGGGGGAGTGCTGGCCCGGGCGAAGAGCTTTGACCGAAACGGAAGGAAAGTGACCCTCGTTTAGTTTTGTGAAACGTCTGAAACCCGGGTTTACTAGATGCCTCCTCTTCACCAATTGCTGGGCATATACAGCGTTACACCACGTGGTTATTCATGTACCTGAGAACTGCCATACCTGCTTACTTGTTCTACACATGCAGCCCCCCGCCTGCTGGATCTGTGTTGTTGTTGTCGTCGTTGTCATCGAAACATATAAATTATGATGACCCGCGCATGCTCAAACCCAGGGCTGGTGAAGCTTTACGTGTGTTCTTTGATATTTTTATTTCACCTTTGTACAGGTAAATCTCATTGAGATCTCTATATCATGGCTAAAGCACTTCTGGATGGATGCAAACTGCATTTTGTTGCCTTGTAGCTGTGACATGAGCAATGACGATAAAGTTTAATTCTATTCTATTCTACAGGGTGGCCATTTATATGGATACAGCGTAATAACATGGGAATGGTTGGTGATACCAAAGTCCTGTTTGTGGCACATTAGTATATGTGAGGGGCAAACTCCTCAAGATGGGCGGTGGCCATGGTCGCCATTTAGAAGTCGACCATCTTGGATACAACTTTTGTTTTTTCAATAGGAAGAGGGCCATGTGGCACATCACACTTATTGATAATGTCACAAGAAAAACAACGGTGTGCTTGGTTTCAACATAACTTTATTCTTTCATGAGTTATTTACAAGTTTCTGACCACTTTAGTTTTGGGACCTACTATGTAAATGTGTCTACAATGTGCGTAATTGCCTCCATTTGTGTATGCATTGTCAAAAATGCCATACCCCTCGGTTCTTCCTCCCTAAACTCTCACAACGCGTGTGATAGGTATTCGACCACATAGTACCTGAGCAGGGACGATAATTCACCAGTCACAGGCCTAGCAAGGCAGCATACCGGTCGGTGAGGTGAATTTCATGGTCGCTCTGCACATGCATCGTTCTTGCCCAGACAACCAATAGAGACATATTGCCGTGCGAGAGTGGACCACCAAATTAGTGAAACAGTCTATATATATATGGAAGGGAGGTCGAAATCAGGTGAGGCTTAGGGTCCTGCGAGGAGGCATTAAACGGCTGGCACCTCTAAACGTTATCGAGAAAGCATGCGGGCACTATTAAGTACCAGACGTGAGGCTGTTCTCAGGGATTCGTGGATGGAGAATTTGCGGTTCTGGGAATAGCCACCCGATATGTATGTAGACGCCGGATGCCATGCTGCCATTTGCGCTTGCTGCTGTGTATAGTGGAACAAGATCAGGGAAGCGCGTGCGACGAGGCTTTCCATGTGCATAAAAGGTAGCGTGGAAACCTCTACTCAGTGCTGTAGGGACGCGATTGCATCTGAATTATGGCTGAGCCTTAACAACTGTTTTCGAATTGATGAGAATGGAGGCACTATCATTGTACCTGTAGATGTAGGTCCATTAGTTGTACACAGAACTACATTGCGCCAGTGGTCTCAGCTGGATCGACTGAGGTGCAAACGCTGGCCTTTACCGACGGTCGCGGAGCTCTGGTGTGATAACTTTTGGATTGGCACTCTAGGCCCGTTAGGTTGAGTAGCAGCCACTGATTGTTTCTTCCATTACAAATCGCACCCGTATTCTCCTCTTGGCAGATCGACATTTTTTGGCACGAATCGCACATAGAACAGTCTTTCGCGAACGTTCAGAAGCGAGTTCGTTACTGCAGACAATCGCGGCGATGGGTGGTCGTCCGCTCAGGGAGTGTGTGCATTCGCTAGATATGCTGGCACATGACCGGCATTACCCTGGGTCGTGGTGCACGACGAACGAGAATCCATCGAATTATATGAGATAATGTGATCGACCCTCTAAGACTCCCGTTGACACTCGTGATTAATACTTACGAGGCATATGTCAATGGAGTGGTGGAACGGGCAGGAGAAGAGAAACTTGTACCAACATACGCTTCAATAAAGGAAAAGGATATAAAGAGATAATATACAGTTCAGATTAAAAACTAGAGCATGAAAAAAACACCGATTGGAATGTTTTCTGCCTGACATATCACGCTGGAAGATAGAGCTCTGATGTGATACAACAATGGTCGTTCTTCAGCTCACTGCGGATGAAGAACATCGAAAACGTTGTGATCTTTATGATGGCCCGACTTTTCGTCTAAGAGATGGCTCAGCAGTGGTCATCCTTTTGACGCTGACGTCTGGCTTTCGAGTGAGGGTTTTGCTTCACATACTATATACCTATTATAAGTGATGCCCCACCATATATGCAGTGACTTTGTTCAGCTATGTGCTCAATAAGCTGCTAGTATCTCAGTGGCTACGGTGATACCTATCGTTACATCTTTGCGCTAGTCATCCAGAGTCACAAGCGATTCGCTCCCACACCCTCGGTTCTCCTGGTAAACCGTGGTGAGTGGATGATTGGTTCTGGCGCATTCCTGGATCAACGACGGACGGACTGGCCCAGAGGTGGATTTGCTTGCTATGCACCAAGCTGGTTCAGTGCTAGCCAGGGCTGCCGGCCCCTTTTTAGCATGCTCTGTGGGCAGGCATGCGTGAGATGTGTCGCAGCTTGGTGTGTGAATCACGTCCGCACGTGGGTCTGTCCGTCAACACCCTGCGAGGGTGAGCGTAATGGTTGATGTACTAAACTCGCGGACGCGCGGTGAGGAGGAGACGCAGACGGTTCGTTATTTAACACATTATATTGACATTAGGGGTTCAATCTCAAGAACTGCAGTCTGTGCTCGTAGGGGCTCAAGAAGGGTGACCAGTGCTTGGGCTTCGATGGCTCGCAAGTCTGAAAGGCGTTTTGAATCAACAGACTGTTGAGTGTAGTGAGAGTGGTGTAAATTTCTCACGCTCTTGCTGTCAATAGGTTGATCTGGAATGCCGGTGGCACGGGCTTCACAGCTGTGGGCGGGGAGGCTGCGTTGGTAGGACTAACTTCTGTGGTGGCCCAACCCGGCGACGGTGAGTTGTGTGAAGCGACTCACGGACCGATTTACACGGGCCGTCTGTGGAGGGGAATCCTCTGAGGCAATTGCGTGAATTGTCCGGGCGCGGTTCTCTGTCCGATAACTACGGCTTCTCCTTATAACGTGGCCAACACCAGGCACGTTACTTGGAACAACTGGCCCAATAACATACGCAGGTACTAGGTAATGCACTAGGCGGGTTAGACACTTGGGAGCACGAACTTCACCAGGGTGACAAAGACCACCAAAACGAACAGCATTATACAGTAGCAGTTCTCACAGACTTTTATGTATGTCATTCGCCGCAAACGTGTGGTTATGCTGTTGATGTAATCTCATGAATTGGTGGACTCTTTTAATATATCGTATAGGATTTTTTATATGACCTCTGATTGGATGTACCTTCTGAATGTGTCTTATGACCTTTCACCCCAGCACTGACCCTCACACTGAGAAGATGAACGATATTCCACTTTTATGCATCAGCTTGTTTCTGCCACAGGAAAGCAGTATTGTGCACTTTGAGATACCGAACTCAAATTTAGGGATATGGCCCACACACATCATCCATCTGCATCCGGATAATAAGGAAATGTCATCCACCGAGCTAGATCCTGGTTAGCAGTACTAACTTGAAATTTCAACTCAGAATTTGGAGTTATGTTTGACTTTATTTGTTTTTCAGTGGTGGAAACAAAGTTTCATACTTTTGGAGATGAATGAAAATATTTGAAGTACTGCTGCAGTACTGTACTACTGTAGTACTTCTACAGAGTCGATAGATGAGGAAAGATCTGGCGGGAATGAGCTGAGTAGTTGTCTGTGTGCTGCTTCCTCCTCTCAACACGCATGATGATGCATTTCCTGTGTTTCAGTTGGAGGTGAGCGATAACACCATCTCGGGGGGTCTGGACGCGCTGGCGGAGAAATGTCCCAGCCTGACCTACCTGAACCTGAGCGGGAACAAGATCAAGGATCTGAGCACCATCGAGCCTCTGGTACGTCCATTCATTAAGCTCGTTAGGCCGATCGCTAACAAAACACCCGAACCTGTCGATGGGAGACCCTGAAACGTAGCAGCAGATTAAAGTCGGGGAGTCTGGCGTTGCTGTCCATGTTTTTGAGGGTTCCTCTGCTTTGTTCTTGTACTGCAGCAAAACCTGAAGAACCTGAAGAGCCTGGACCTGTACAGCTGTGAGGTCTCAGCGCTGGACGACTACAGAGAGGGCGTCTTCGAGCTGCTGCCTCAGCTCACTTACCTGGACGGGTTTGACGAGGAAGACAATGAGGTGCCCGACTCCGAGGCCGAGAACGGTGAGCCGCTAACGCGGAGTCTCTCTGACCCGACCGAGGGGCGGGGTCTATTTGTTTTTCATGTGCACACTTTGTTAAGCCATAAACGTTTCCGTCCAGTGAGCGCGTGCAGATCTGCTGGTCGCCTTCAGCCGCCTAATTTGGATTAAGGACAGGAAGTGGTCCACGGGGAGGACGAACGTCCTGTTTCTGATGTTAGGATGTTTTGTTCCAGATGAGGATGATGAAGCCGGCCCGCCGGGAGATGACGACGATGAAGACGACGATGAGGATGAGGAAGGCTCTGAGGGAGACGAGGTCGGTCTGTCGTACCTGATGAAGGAGGGAATCCAGGTGAGAGGTCATGACTTACAACTTCATTTATAATAAAGGTAAACAGAGAGCAGAGGAGGAGGAGCCTGCCTCACGGCGTGCTCACAGTTGAGTTTAACGTGTTTTTAACATAATTTAAGGATGAAGAGGACGATGGAGACTACGTCGAGGAGGACGAAGAGGACGAGGAGGAAGAAGAGGATGGAGGTTTGTGTCGCTGAAACGTGATTGGATTCTTTTGGGGGGAGGGGAGTTGTTGTTGTTTTTTTACAGCCCCTGTGGCGGTCGTCACGGTGACTTCGCCGTCGATGTCTGTGTTACAGTAACGATCACATCATGGCGTTTAAACTGCACGCTTAGGCCACGTTTCCCTGGTGACAGCTTTTACATGTGCGTAGTTACCCGATGATGAGTCATTGCGAGTTTCGCTGTCATGTGATTGATGTGTTCAATGAAACCCGTTCAGTGCAGCGCCACCTAGTGGTAGAAACGCTTTCTGCTCTTCTCTCGGCTGAGTGAAGGAATCGTAGTTCTGTCAGGGTTGCTTCCTCCTCAGTGTCACCATGTTATTGATTACTGATTATTGATCAGGTGATTGATGGCTGCTCTGATTTCCTCAGATGAGGACGGCGCCGCTGTTCAGGGCGAGAAGAGGAGCCTAGCGTTACGCGACCAGAAGAGACGACCCATCCTTGACCCAACTGGAGACCTAGATGCAGGTAGAAGATAGGTGCTTGCACTCGAACATCCTGACAAACTGGAGACAAAAGTGCTTCTCAACCTTTTATTACCTGAGCTTTTACTTCTGTAAGTGAGGACATCTTTGTTTCAGGGAACTCAGACAGATAGGTGTGAGTATCAGGGCACTTTATTTTTACATTAACATTTTTTGGACCTGCTTCACTAAGAAGGGACATTTTGTATTTTGGGGACGTCGGCCACTATGTTTTGAATCTTTATTAATAAAGTGAGGTCAGAGTGAGGGGGCGGGGTTTGTGGACAGGTGTGGTACCTGGGTGGTTGGATACTGGCTGTGGATACGGAGCGGTGCTGTGATGCTGTGACCCTGCAGAAACAAACACAGACCCAGTACTCAGCAATAATGCAGTACTCGCAGTACTACGGTACTGAATAGAGCAGTAACATTTAACATGCTGTCTTACAGAAGTGAGTGTTGGGGGCGTGGTGTTGTTGATGATGAAATGATGATGTGCAAAATGGTAGAGTGTGGACTTGGTAAATGCCACCGCCAATAATGCTGCGGTCACATCAGAGATTAGTAGGGGCAGGGCTGT